GGTAGAAGAGATATCTTGGCCACTCGATGATTTGATTTGACTTATGTGCCGGGCCCGGTCAGAACTGAATTGATGTGTTCGATTAAGTTCTATGTCGAATAAATCGGAGATCGAGAAATCTAAATGCTAGACTAACCATTCCATAGGATTGTCAGCATGATATCTAACAGAGGACTGTACGATCCCTTATCTAAAGGACAAGATTGATTAGATCAGAGTTGACAGCGTCTTTGAGAGCTACGATTGCAAACCGAATTGTACTTGTATAGTTACTAGACTTATCCAAGTGGGAGACTGTTGGAATAGTGTCTAAGGCTGTAACTATATTCGGTTGTGCATGGTCCTTTTGGGTTGCCTTCACCATAGCAACTTGATGGATGATTTGTTAAAAGAGAGTAAATATTATAAGGAATAATATTTAGTATTTGATTAATATAAGTCATAAATTAATTGGAATTAATTTGGTGACTTAAGAGATTAATTAAATAAGAGGGTATAAACTATCAATTGTTTGATAGTTACACTTTAGACTGTAAATCCTTATCCTAGATAGGATGGACGATTTCTAGGGCTTGGATAAGCCAAAATCGTCCATAGGGTTATCTATGGAATGGATTTGGATAGCCTTAAGAGAAGATTATCCAATAAGGGTTTAGGTTGAAACCCTTAAGGAGTCTACAAGTATAAATAGACCCTAGGGGTGAGGGAATTCGATATACCATCTAAAGTAAGAGAACTCTGGCCGAATTCCTCCCCTCTCCTCTCTCCTAAATCATCTTGCTTGCTATTGGTGTTTGTAAGCCATTAGAGGAGTGACATTTGTGACTCTAGAAGCTCCAAGACAAACAAGATCAACAAGGAACTCAAAGGTATGATTCTAGATCTGTTTCAATATTGTTATTTGACCTAATTAGCCATTAGAAGTCTTGGATTCAAAGCATGTTTAATTAGAAAGTCTAAATCCAAGCATTAGGGTTTTGAATACGCACATAGGAAAGTTCTTATGGCTAAAACCCATCAATACATATATGTGGGGTCTACTAAATTTTCTTAATTATATAAAAAATAAATACATAAATAAGAAAATTATTTTAAAAAATAAATTAATAACGAAACAATAGTCTTTTTAGGTAAGACATATATCAAACTCGTAACAAAATTAAACAGGAGGGATCATTTGAGTTAAAAAAATAAATTAATTAAAAAATGAATAGTAAGGATCATCTGAGGAGATACAAATATGTGGGGTCTATTAATTTTTTTTTAAATATGTAAAAAATAAATACATAAATAATAAAATTTATCAAAAAATAAATTAAGAAGGACACAATAGTCTTTTTAGGTAAGACAGAGACCAAACGCGCAACCAAAATAAACAGTAAGATTCATCCAAGCTAAAAAAATAAGTTAGAGACCAAAACATAAATTCCCCCAACCACAGGGACCATTCATGTAATTTACTTTTTACTTTTCGTTTTGTTTATATTTTGATAAGAATTTTTTTTAATACATCTAGGTAACGAACTTTTTAAAAGCGTTCACATCTAGGATTTAACCTGCTATAGCAAGTCATAATGGTCATATGTGAATACTAAAATAAGTTTGTTACTATGTGCAAAAAAAATAGTTACCCAGATATGAACATATCGAAAAATTAATTACCTTAATAAATCATTTTACCAAAATTAAAAGACAAAAAATAACACTATACCAAATCTAATACATAACCAACATTGAAAAGGTGATGATGTTGGTGTCACCTCTTGGTTTTTAGAGTGACAAAGCTACATTAGACTTAGAGTTTTGTGGCTGGTAGCAAAATTGGAGGTGGTGTTAGGCGTAAAGTCGCAGAGGAGGAGGATAGTGTTTAGGGGATGAGAAGGACAATGCTACATTACACTTAGAGTTTTGTTTCATTTTTGCAAAAATATTCAAAAATAATATCTGAAATATATAATCTTTATCGGTTTTAGTCGGAGCAAAAAAAAAAGTCTTTCAAACATTTAATAGATCATAGTAAATGATAACATACTCAAATATAATATGTGCAACTTTTAAAAACCATAAAAACAATCCATATTAAAAGTTTTTAAATTGGACAAGCCATATTAACTTTTAATTATTATTAAAAAAGATAAATTTAATAATAAAAAAGTTAAAGTAAAAACTTAACTAAACATGATTTCATAATTTACTTTTATCAAAATTATAATTTAGTCTTAAAACAATTAGGGAGCGTAAATGATGGCCGGTAGAATTTGGTAGGCGGTACAAAGGTGGAGGAAAAAGTCTAAAAGGAGCCGTGCAGTTGCCAAACTGCAGTCACCGGGTCAAACTGGTTGCTCCAAAAATGGCACACCTACTGCCCCACCGGTCTCTGATTGATATAATTAATCAGGTCAAACGTCGTTATCATCACCAGAATCAGTCTCCACTCCCATTTTGTAGCTCGTATAATTGCTACCAACAGTACTCCAATTCTATATCTGCTTCATCACTCCGTTATTTCTATTACTTCCCCTGTTTATGGCCGTTAATCCGATCGGTTCATACTAAATTCAAGTCTCTGTGTGTTTGGTTAGCAATTTGATGGATTATTCTAACCAGCCGATCGAGCTCAGGGCTTTGGATTCTTTGGGATTAGGGTTTGATGTTGCGAGCGATTTTCGGTTAAAATTCGCGAAAAGTTGTCCTGATGGTGGAAGGTTAGTGGAGCTGGATGAATCGAGGAAGAGAGACATTGTTCTTCCAGGCTGTGGCACCACCATTTCTGGGGTTTCTGAGGATATTCGTTGTGATAAAGGAGATCGTATTCGCTTTAAATCGGACGTTTTGGAATTTAACAAGGTGATCACTTGTTCCTTTACGAATATCGCCTTCTATTTAATTTTTTCTATGCAATTGCCTTTATGTGCGATGATCATATACCAATTAGGGTATACTTTTGATGTTTGGGATTCAAAATTGATGACCTTCTCAACTCCTTTTTTGCTTGGAGTTCGATAAGGTGATAACTATTTTTTGCATTAGTTACTAATTATTTCAAATCTACTAATTAAAATAAGAGCAAATGACTGCAAACTTAGGTGACCTAATTTTGGAAGCACTCTTCAGATACATGTGGACTCAAGACTTTCATTATCTTCTGTAGTCACTTGTGTTTTCGGAATCTTGTGAGTTGTCATAAAGTAGCACTGCTGACTTATTCAACTGGTAAATCTATATCAGCTTTTGACAAAATGCATAGAGTATTATCAGTACTTTTAAAATCCAATGCAATGTGAGTATGTGACATGTATAGAATAGTCTTAACATTTTATTTTCTCATGTGTTTCTTGTAGATGTCAGAATTACTTAATCAAAAATCATCAATACAAGGAAAAGTCCCATCAGGATACTTCAATGCCTTATTTGATCTAAGTGGAGCATGGTTAAATGATGTCACAGATTCCAAATATCTTGCTTTTGATGGTTACTTTATCTCTCTCTACTATTTGCATCTAACATCATCTCCATTAGTACTCAAAGAAAGTGTCAAGAAATCTGTTCCAACTTTCTGGAATCCATTGATACTAGCTAGGTAGGTACTCCTCTGTTTTACATTGTAGATAACAATTGACTTAATATAAATAAATGCTTATCAGATATGTTTTATGAGACAGATTCATTCAAACTTATGGCACACACATTATAGTGGGAATGGCTGTTGGAGGTCAAGATTTAATCTGTGTTAAACAAAAACCATCTTCAACTATTTCTCCTGCAGAACTTAGACGATATTTGGATGATCTTGGAGATAGTTTGTTTTCAGATGGAAGGAGTCCTTCTCTAATAGAGAGAAAAACAAGAGATGGAAAACAAAAAGTAATGTGTTTTTTTATTTTACTAGTTTAATTCTTGAACTATTATGTACTTTTTTTTTTAAGAATTCTGGATTCCTTGTTAGGTTCCAGATGTGTTCAACCGTATGTTGCAGCCACATACAATGCAATTCACTAATGTTACAGAAACTTCAAGCAAGGATGTAAGTTGCAACATAGATAAAACAATTTAAACCAAACACTGCAAAACTAACTTTAATATTTTAAAAATTCTGTTATTGAAGTGTCCTATGAATTTATCTCTAAAAACAACTCTTTTTGGAGCTTAAATTCATCCTACACTTCAACATACATAACAAAAATCAAAGCTTTATTCGATAAACATCACAAAGTTCATAACTTTATTGAAGTGTATTATAAACAGGGCCTCACAGTTATCGAGTGTAAAAGAGGTGGAGATGTATTTTCAGACACTCACTCAAAATGGCTTCAGACAGTTGGCAATAATCCTGAAGCAATGCTCTTTAAATTTGTTCCAATTACTTCTCTTCTTAATGGGATTCCAGGGAGTGGATATCTTAGTCATGCAATCAACTTATATTTACGTTGTAAGTCAATGAAATTAAACCCCACAAAATCTCATTGTATGATTTGATAAGTTGGGTATGTGAAATGTAGAAGGGTAAAATTGTCATTTACTTATTTGTGTCAATCATTTTGCTTAGATAAGCCTGCTCTAGAAGACTTGCAATGTTTCTTGGAGTTTCAAGTTCCTAGACTATGGGCACCTCTGTTTTGTGAGCTACCTCTTAGACATCAAAGAAGAAAGACATCTTGCCCTCGGCTACAGTTTAATTTCTTGGGCCCCAAGATTTATGTCAGCACAACTCAGGTAAATGGTGTCTGTATTTAAATAATATATAATGAGAGTTTTTTCATGAATTCCGTTCATTTTCCAACGAAACTCACCATGGAATGGAATCTCGAATTCCAATTCCATCAAACGCCACAAACCAAACACACACCTCAATTATTAAATTTCTTGATACTTTCTCAGGTTGTAAGCGATGATAAACCCGTAACGGGTCTCCGTTTATTTCTCGAAGGCAAAAAACACAACCGATTAGCAATGCACGTACAACACCTCTCAAGCCTCCCCGACACCATGACACATAACTCCCCAAAACCCACCACACCTCTTCAATGGCGAGGCTCTGATGATTCCAATTCCAATCCCGATTCCAATTCCAATTCCAATTCCAAATTCCTCGAACCAGTCCGATGGAAACGCTATTCCAACGTCTGCTCTTCCGTAGTCAAACACGACCCAAACTGGCTACAACAAAGTCAAACACCCGGAGTCTTCATAGTAACCGGGGCCCAACTCATAACAAAAGGAAAATGGCCCAAAACCATACTACACCTCCGTCTACTCTTCACCCACTTGCCCAACTGCACCATACGTAAGACCGAGTGGGCCGGTGTACCCGTGGCTCGCAAGTCGAGTATTTTCACGAACCTGAGCTCGACTTTCACCTTCACACGTGGCTCGGTGGCTAATGCTGAGAAGCAAGTGGGTGCGATGGTGAACTCGGGTGTGTTTCCTGATAGCCCACCGGTGCCGGTTCGGTTCACGAAGTTGAGGAAGTTTGTGGACACGGATGAGGTGGCGCGTGGGCCACAGGACTCGCCGGGTCATTGGTTGGTGGTTGCGGGGAGGTTGGTTGTGGATGGGGGGAAGATTGGGTTGCATGTTAAGTTTGCTTTGTTAGATTTTGGAAATGAGTTGTAACGGTTTTTGTTGTGTATATGATGAGTGTGTAATATGTTTGAGGTTTTTAGTCTTTTGGTTATTTTGTATTACAAATGGGTTTTTCTAGATGGGGGTTGTAAGGGCATGAATTAAGTGATTGCTTGTTGGATATATAATTTACTAAATAGCTCAAAAATAGTACCTCAGTTGAGGTTTATTATCTTAAGTCATAACCTCAAAATTAAGTACAATGATAGACACAACATAATAACACAAAAAGGTGATAAAGAAACAGATGTGTTTACTAAGCTTTCCATGAAGACAAAGGTGGGGTGTCGGAGTTTAGATAGGTGGGGAAACCATCCATGTATCTATCACCCTTGGCTGCATCAGCTGAAGCAATGGATTCAAGTTCAGCCATGTCTTGTGGTGTTAGTTTAACAGATAAAGCTCCGATGTTTTGTTGAAGGTTTTCAATCTTAGTGGTTCCTGGTATTGGCACAACATCTTTCCCCTGATGGTGAACCCACGCCAATGCTAGTTGTGATGGAGTGCACCCTTTCTTTACTGCAATCGCACTAACCCGTTCGTACAGCATTTTATTATTCTCAAGATTCTCAGGTTGGAACCTTGGTAGATTCTACAAAAAAGAATAAGTAAATATATATAAACACAAGTTGAAACCCAATTTAATGATTTTATATTATAGTAGCTAGATAATCTGATTCAGTTTGGTTTGTGCTGACCTGGCGGAAATCGCCATCTGTCAAATTCTCAACCATCTTCGGACCCAATGAAAGAAATCCGCGTCCTAGAGGACTGTATGCCACAATTCCAATGCCAAGTTCTCTGACAAAATTTACTTTATCAATTGACGAGAAAGTCGGAAATATTATTTTTATTTTACCTTTACAAGTAAAAACTCAAATAAACCTGCAAGTAGGGATAATTTCGTCTTCAACATCCCTGGACCACAAGGACCACTCTAGTTGAACAGCAGTTATCGTGTGCACAGCATGGGCTCTTCTAATGGTTGAAGCCGAAGCTTCTGATAATCCTATGTATTTTATCTTCCCTTCTTCCACCAGTTTCTTCATTTCTCCCATCTTTTCAAGTAAACAAAACAATCTCAGAGGCTAAGTAGGAAATACGATCCACATAGTCTATACATACCGTGATTTCAATGGGCACACGTGTGTCAATTCGGTGTTGATAATATAGATCAATGCAATCGATCTCAAGCCGCTTCAAGCTACCTTCACAAGCAGCCCTGACATATTCCGGATCACCATACACCTCACGGTTTCCATTCTCAAACTTGATCCCGAATTTGGTAGCTAACTCCGTTTTTTCCCTTTCTCCTCCCTTCAAAGCCTGTGTTGCATGTTTATAAGTCTTTTTAATTACTGAATTTATTAACCGGATAATAAGCGATTAAGGGTACAAGCAAGAGTGTGACCTTTCCGAGTAGGATTTCATTGGTGTGAGGGCCATAGGCATCGGATGTGTCGAGTAGGGTGATACCGGTGTCAATGGCGTGGTGGATGAGGTTGATCATGTTATGTTCGGGTTTTGGGGGTCCGTAAACAGCGGACATACCCATGCAACCCAAACCTTGAGCTGACACCTCCAAACCCTGTGAACCCAATTTGACTCTGGGAACTTTTACCATGTTCTTATTGATCGGATGAACTTTTTGTTTTGGTTGGATTGTGATTTGATGGTAACAGAATGGAGTGATGATCATTTATAGTGAGCAAGTCATGGTTAGAGCATATAATTGTATGGACCTTCTTGGAAATTCATTCCGGCTTAGCTCACCAATAAAAAAAGATATATATTTTTTAATTTCCTTTTAAAAACATATATTCTTTATCCATACAGTTTTTTTTAGCGAGTCCTGCTTAACTTATCTATTTTGCCTAATCTATATTTATTTAACTTTAATTTATACTTTTGGTAATTAATTATATTTTATTTGTAGATCGTGAGGTAAGCGCCTACATATTGCCCGAGGCTGCTGGTGCATAAGAGCCTACGTAAGATCCCGTATGCAGAGACAAATTTAAAATAACAAATGATTTTTATATATTGAAATGTCTTGGGTGCATAAGAGCCTACGTAAGACCCCTGGTGGTCAAAAATCTTTTTTCATATTCGTAGGTTTCATAAAAAAAATTGTTTGTTTTTTAAAGTCTCATAAAAAAAGACTTGTGGTGATGTCGTCGGCAATTGTGGTGTTGGTGTTGGTGATGGCGGAGGTGGTGAAGGTGGCAGAAGTGGTGGTGGTGGTGGCGGACGTAGGGGAGGTTGGGGTGATACATGTAGTGGTTGTGATGGTGGTGGTGGTGTCAGAGGTGATCAGTGACGGAGCTTGAAATATTGATTTGAGAGCTGAAAATAGAAAATGTATAAAAATTGAAGAACAGTTAAAATCAAATTTTATAGTTTTAGGTCTTATATATAAATATTTTAATAGTTAAGGGCTAATTATGAAAAATAAATAAATAGCCCTTCTTAGCCCTATAGAAGCTCCATCTTTGGAAGTGATGACAACATCGTTGGTGGAAAAGAATATCATTAAAACTTCGAAAATATTTTCTAAAAGAGAATTTGACTTATTAAGTGTAACATTCATAAAATTCGAGCAAATTTAAAACTTTTTAAACCATTTAAAACCAATCAATTATTCCAATTAGTTTTCAAAATAGTTTAAACATCAGAGTTTCCAGAAATCATAATCATCGATCGAGGAAGTGTACGGTCATGCCTTTGCCTTCCCGCGACCATCCGCTGAACCTGACACAATAAGCTGAAATTGTGAGCCTGAAAGCATAGTGGGTTACCCCCAAAATACCAACGCCATACCGATAACCATATCATATAAACATATAAGCAACATAACAGCCATGCATCTCGAGTCTATAATGTGACTGGTCCGCCCGCATCTGGCGTTCAGTCCACCTGGGTCCACTCTCCGAGTCTACAGTATGCATAATGAGCCTTCAGCCTGACTGGACTGCCTCACAGGCCTTCAGTCTATCTAGACCGCTCTCCGAGCCTTCGACACGTCTGGACCGCCTCGCAAGGCCTTCAGCCTATCCGGACCGCTCGCTGGGCCTTCGGCCTGACTAGGTGCCCTCCTGGGCCTGTAGTCTATCCAGTTTGTCCTAGGTATGTTGGCCTACAACACGAAGTAGGACCCGCCTCAACCCAACCCCCATACCAATCAAACAATCATGTGCACATAAATATCATACGCTAGCATGTAAATAACAGATAATCATACCGACCTAACCGGTCACTAACATAACATCATCCTATATACCAGGATACCGACCTAAACCAGATCACTAACATACTATCATCCTAACTACCTGGATGCAGATCTAGCAGATCAATAAACATATCAAACAAATACCCGGATACAAATCCGATAAAGGGTCTGCCTTGGTGCCTTAGACCCTATTGATATAGTTAGGATAACTCACCTCACACTGTTGACTCGAAGATGAACTCAATCTCTCGGATTTCCGGTACAAACTCCACCACCTATATTCACCATCGATCGAGGAAGTGTACGGTCACGCCTTCGCCTTCCCGCGACCATCCGCTGAACCTGACACAATAAACTGAAATTGTGAGCCTGAAAGCATAGTGGGTTACCCCCAAAATACCAATGCCATACCGATAACCATATCATATAAACATATAAGCAACATAACAGCCATGCATCTCGAGTCTATAATGTGACTGGTCCGCCCGCATCTGGCGTTCAGTCCACCTGGGTCCACTCTCTGAGTCTACAGTATGCATAATGAGCCTTCAGCCTGACTGGACCGCCTCGCAGGCCTTCAGTCTATCTAGACCGCTCTCTGAGCCTTCGACACGTCTGGACCGCCTCGCAAGGCCTTCAGCCTATCCGGACCGCTCGCTGGGCCTTCGGCCTGACTAGGTGCCCTCCTGGGCCTGCAGTCTATCCGGTTCGTCCTAGGTATGCTTGTAAATTTCCAATTTCCTAAAATGTCCCCAGAAGTCCATTGGTCAACCCTTGGTCAAAGTCAAAGTCATCAGTTAAGGTCAAAAGTCCATGTTGACCTCAACTCGTCGAGTACCCTCAGCTACTCGCCGAGTTCCTTTCATAACTCGCCAACTCGTCGAGTCACTAGAGTGACTCGTCGAGTTCCTAAGGTTTACGGTCGTAAACTCCTTGGCCGACTCGTCGACTCTCCCTTGCAACTCGCCTAGTTCATACATGTCCAAAGGTTAGGAAAACCCTAGCCGACTCGCAGAGTCACTCATCTGACTCGCCGAGCCCACAACAATCTTCATCGGACTCGCTGAGTCCCTTAAGTCCTTCATCCATACAGAGGCTTTTTAAGCCATGCTAAGGCTCCAAATTGTAGATCCAGCTTCCTAAGGCATGTTTATCATGTAAAGTTGCAAACTTTACGTGCATGCAAAGCTCTAAAGTCTTAAAATGACAAAACTAAGATTGTAAAGAAGTCTCACACTTGAGGGAAGGTTCATGCTTGTCAAAGCTAACAACTTTATGGACCTGGAGACCAAAGAGAGCTCAGATCTGAAGTTACAACTACAGATCTTAACTCAAACACAAGAAAAGCTTTTTAAAATCCACCCAAATGAGATCTAAGATGAAATGAGGCCAAGATAATAGCTTAATACCTCCAAAAGGGTGCCAACTGAAGTAGATCTTTGATTCCCATGAGTTCCTTGCTTCTAATCACTTGTTCCCCAAGCTTTTCTGACCAAAATCCTTCCTCAAAGCTTAAACATACATGTAGCATACACACACAAATTAGGGTTTTGGAATGTCAAGAGGTTGTAAATGGGAGGCTGGGGAGGCCAATGATCCTTTAGATAGGGTGCAAAACCCCGAAAATTAGGGTTTCATCCGCCAGCTCCTACTCGTCGAGTCCGTTCTTGGACTCAGCGAGTAGATCACTTAAACACGTGGATTAACCTGCTGCTACTCGAAGAGTTAGGGCAGCCAACTCTTCAAGTAGACCTTGAAATCATGAAAATTTAAAACCATAATTTAATACTTGAGAATCGGGGTGTTACAATTCTCCCCCACTTGAACTAGACTTCGTCCTCAAAGTCTGCTGCGGTGAACAACCTCGGATAGTGCTCTCCGGATCCCACGTCCACTCCGACCCTTTTTGGTGCTCCCACTGTACCTTTACCAAAGGTACCTCCTTGTTCAGCGGAACCTTCAACCTTCTCTCTAGAATGGCCACATGCCTCTTAACATAATCTAGGCGCTCACCGACCTGAATGTCATCCAAATATACTACTGCCTCCTGATTCATGATGCACTTTTGCAACTGCAAAACGTGAAAGGTGATGTGAATCCCAATCGAACCTTTTACATAAGGTCTATCCTTCATGCCACTTTGCCAACTTGACAAAATCCTGATGATCCAAAGTATCGGAAACCCAAATTTCCCTCTTCCTGAAGCGAACACTTTGTGCTGACACGATATTTGTCCCTAAATATTATACAAAATCAATCCACCAATGCACACGAACACTCATGCCTGGCCCAATCAGCCTCGGGCTGGAATACCAAGCATGCCTACGACGGGTCAAGTCATCCCTAGGATGGAAGACCCTCGCATTCTACACATGAATCCCAAGTCATAACCTACTTCCCCTCTTCCTGCTACCATATGATGTTTCTCAGACGAAGTCGAAACCTCCCTAGTCCCAATTTGTCTACCCACTACCCGAATCATTAGACACCTCACCGATTACTAAACCAAAAGACACACACAAACAACAGTCCCACGCGTCCCCTGAAAAGAAAACCGACTGGCTGGACTTGCTTCCACACCCTGCCATCAACTTCTCCTAACATAATGAACACTACATGACCCACAACAGCCTCACCTCCTACCTGGTCTTCAGCGAACCATCTTCTCCTTACCTCAGACGCGCTATGGCTCTTTCACAGATGAAACCAACCCAAGACACATCATAATAACTCAAACCATCATCAACATACCTACCACTACTGGCCCACCAGTACGACAATAATGTCTAACTCAAATAACCCCTTCGAGTTGGAATACCAACATTTCTAATCAATTCAACTATCGATTTGAAATTCTCAGGGTTTGTTGGCCTACCGCCTCAACCCTACCACTCCTTTTGAGCCTCCATGCCTACGACTTACTGTCAGTCCGCACTGGGTATCTTGGACTACCGCATAGAGCAGGACCACCTCAACCCTATCCAACTGCCACAGACGATCATGAGAAAGATCCAACCCGGTTCCCAGAACCCGAATGACAGGACATCCTAATCCCAAGCCTTCCTAAGGCCGACGAATACCCATTTGGATTTACTTCCCAGTCCCCAACTGGAGTATCACCCGATCCAAGAAGATTAATACTTTGAGACGTTCCAAACTGATGAGATCACCAAGATCCTTTATACTCCATCCGATCTCTAATAACAACTTCTGATCAAACCAAAAATACACCAGAGTCTTCCGCCTACTCCAATAGCATGATAAATACTTGGGGACAAACCTACTGATTGATATAGCATAGCAACATACTCAATACCCGCACATAAATCTACAAACACATACAAAGTCTTCAGCATGACTGGACCGCCTCACCAGGCCTTTAGTCTATCTAGACCACTCTCAGAACCTTCAACATGTCTGAACCACCTCTCTGGGCCTTCAACCTATCTGGACCGTTCTCCGAGCCTTCAGCCTGATTGGTACGCCCCACCGGCCTTTAGTCTATCTGGACTGGTCTAAACTATTGAGCATCTCCTTGGACCACCCCTCATGTGATCCTTCCCATACAGACCGTTCTCACCCACTTGGGGTTCTGAACTCCG